TATATAGGTTAAAAAACTACAAAAGGTTAAAATTAAGCTAAAAAGTTAAAACTACAATGCAGATTAAAAAGGCGGAGAGAGCATCCTCAGGCTACCAGCCACCATTTCCAGAGTTTGTTCTAACATCCAGTTTGCTTTCTTCTGTTTCTTCATCGTTAGCACTCTTTTCACATTCATCCTTAACAAATTATCCGATATCATTCCATAGTTCCTCTGGTTACATATTAATGAGCTTCAGGGCTTCAACATGATTCCTGAAGTTCTCTTTGAAAATGGTATGTGCTCAAGATCATATTGTAGAAACTAGTAGTCTTTGTTCTTTCCCTTTAGTCTGAACTGGAATTTGCACATCAGCAGTTTGTGATCTGTCCCAGAGTCAACCCTGCCCATGTTTTGGCTATTATAACTGCACTTTTCCACCTCTTTGTACCAATATAGTCAGTTTGATTTCTGTCTGCTCTATCTAGAATTGCGCATGGATATGGGTGTTGTTTTGGTTTGGAGAATGTGTTAGCAGTGAAGAAAGCGTCAGTTTGACAGAAAATGACAAATTGTTTTCTGCTTTATACCTAGGCAGTTCAGTCCAACTGTTTTTTTCCTTACTATTTACAGTTTTGGCATCATTTGGCACGATATCATCAATCACTTTAAACTGTCTAACCATGGGGCTCCTTGGTAAAACGCAGGAGTCATTTCCCATTGTTTTCTCCAATACAGCATTATATGATCCCTTTGCTGTTGTCACAAAGATGGTCATTCGGCTCCAGCATCTTCCTATATCGCTACTGCCCATATAGGCGCCCGTTTCTTTAGCTGAGAAGACCTTTGCGCCTTGGGCGACCCTGCTGGGAGTCTATACTCTTAGTAGGCGCTCCCGTCATCTCTCGCTCATCCCCTCCCACCACCACCACGAGGCAGCACAGCAGGACTTGGCGGGAGGGGTGGAAGCATCTACTATGTACCAAATTCAACAGCTTGTCTCACAATGTCAACCTGGGGGACAAAAAAGGAGGAGGACAAACAGCAGGTACATGTTGCATTTCTATTGGGTACAAAGATACATACAACAATTGAGATATAGTCTATTGTACAACAGCATTAAAAATTGGAAGATTTTCTTGACATCTCAAAAAAGGAAAATAGGGACAAAGGTGATCTCCTCAGCTGACAATCTCCTTCTCCTCCTCCTCCTCCTCTTGGAAAGCTGTGGGGCCCATTTACATTCATTCATTTTCTTCTTGCCAGCTGACCAAGTGGAGGGATATTTCAGCAGCAACTGAACCCCACAGAACACAGGGGCACTGATCTGCCACTTGAGGCAGGGGTTACACTGTACAAACTGTAGTACGGTGCTGATTTCCTAAAACCCAGTTCTCTTTCTCTAGAGAGACATATACACCGGTGGGCAGATGGGCCTTGCACTCAGTAGTGACCAGCTTTCCCAAATACCTCCCCTTAAATGGAAAGGAAACTACTAGCAATAGAAGAATTGTGCATTAATACTTAAAATGGCTCTGCTTTTAGCAACTATCTAAAAAAAGAATAAAGTTTGTGATTGGTCTTAAGACCAGAAATGGCACAAATTAAAATAATGTATTGATTATAAGTGAAGAAGGGTCCAAATTAAAAAAAACATTACCGAAAAACTCTGAGGACACCTCCTTGCCATAACCACATGATTCTGCAGACAAATGATCCATTAAAAGTGCTATCACTTGAGGCAACCAAAGACTTGGGCCAAGTTTGGTTCTAGCTCCTGGGCTCACCACCTAAGTGGTCTGGAGTGGGAGGTTACGTTTTGTCTCCTCGAAAGTTCCACACAGGAGAATTCACCTTTGCCACCCAAAATTCACCAGGCACAAACACAGGCAGGAATGCTCATCATGTGCAAAACAGTTAAGGAAGAAAAACCTTTGGATTAAATCTTTAGTACATATACTTTGTGTCTGTGTGTCTGTGTGCATGCACACATATAATCATAGAGGCAACTGTGAAGTCATAAGGCTATTGAGACATAAATTCTGGAAGTAGCAAACTCCTGGAGATGACACCTCCTCTACCCAAACCAACGAAGCGTGCGGCCTTGGTCTCTGTCCCCATGTCACAGAAACACATCAGCTTTATTCTCCACCTTCTCCCCCGAGAGTTACAGGCTAAAAAGAATAACCTACAACATTATCAAACTCCTGAGTCTCCAGCACTGGCTTTAAACGGCAGGTCTGGTAGTTTAATAAAAAAAAAAAAAACGCAAGGATTAATCCTCAAAGTCCCACTGGTGTCAGATTTTTGCTTTGCGTTTGTATTCGTAGCATGGCACTCACAGTGAGCCGCAGCAGCCAGATGTTAAAATGGGCAGAGAGTCAGAGTAGCAAGTTTCCCTGCACCCATCTTTGAAAAGGATCATGGCTGAAACTGCCACACACTTAGATGTTCACACAGCACGCAGAGAACTGGATCAATCTCATTTATAGATCTATATATAAAAGGTGGACCTTGCTGCTGTACATGGTGTTGGATAACATAGAGAGACAGATTATTTTAAAAGCCAAAAAAAAAAAAAAAAGCATTCAGTATTGTCAAAAGCTTTAACTGGAAAACCTGAAAGCCCCAGAACAATCCTCATCCCAGCATGGGGCTTCGAGAGAGGAATGGATCCATCTGGAGAAATCTGCGAGCTGCCCTCATTTCCTCCACCTTTACTCAGCAGAGTTAGCAGCTTCCTCGGCTGGCTGCCCAGGTGGCACTCCTATGCTCAATGCCCCGGACTGCTCAGGAAGCCCTGGGTGGCACGCTGCCTGGGCTAGAGTAAAGCCCTCTCCTGCCAGGGGGCCCTGCGGCGCCAGCTCCTCCGGGATGCCTTGGGACTGATCCTTGGGAAGTCCCTCGACGTCTGCCCCCGCGGTCAGAGACGCAAAGGCACACAGGTCCTGTACCTTTTTGTTCAGGTCATTGCGCTCGGTCTGCAGGGCCCGGCATAGCTTCTCAAGGCGCTGGATTTTCACTTGGAGACCCTCCAGTTCCTTGTCTCGGAGGGTTTTCTGCGTGGGAATAATAGCATCAATTTCAGAGTCAGCTTTCGGAGGGCTTTAGGAAGAAAACGTCTGAAGAAAGCCATTGGAAGGAAATTAAGAGGACAGCCCCAATTTTAGGAAGGGTGCCCTGTTTAGCTACATTCCCCACAATGAAAACGCTTAGATCTCCCCAGAGAAGTGGGCCATGTTACCTCTTCTGCCATTTCTAAAAGGGCTTTGTTGCTGCTTTCCCAACGGGACCTATACATTGTCGTTTCTTTCTCCAGCTTCTTGATCTTCTTTGTCATCTATGGAGTTGCAACAGAAACAAAGAAACAGCGGTTACAAAGCGCTACCTACTTTTTCAAGGTTGTGTGAACCTGTCCTGTTTACCTTTACAAGCCAAGAACTACTATTATGGTACATTTAAGACTTTGATTGCATGGCTGTTGCTCTTGCAATCAAAGGCAGTTGAATGTGAATAGAATCATTGATTTCTTTTCAAAGTTTTTTTTTAATGAAGTCAGATATTAAAACTTTTTTTAAATGCTTAATAAAAACTAAATGTAGCTCAAACAGATAAACATGAATGTAATTTCTAGTTATATATTCTAATATATATACTAGTTATATATTTGCTAATAAGCAGATGAGAGATATATTAAAAGACCTTGTAACTGACTCCCTCTAGAACAGTGTTTCTCAGCTTTGGCAACTTTAAGATGAGTGGACTTCAACTCCCAGAATTCTGGGAGTTGAAGTCCACTCATCATAAAGTTGCCAAGGCTGAGAAATGCTGCTCTAAAAGATTTCTATTTGTTGATCTTTTAGAGCAGCATTTTTAATTTGAGGTGAGGGAGTAGCTCAGGAGTCCTGAAGATCTGAGCAATATATTTTTGATCCTGAAGTGTATCTTCTTGACTAAAACGCCACTGTAACAGCAGGAAAAAAATCTCATTTAAGAAAAATGTAATAAATTCCTAATTGTGTAGGGAAGCCACACACTCAAATAAAAGCAGATGGTGCAGTGCTGCCTAAATTTAACCATCATTCTAACATGCAGAACCTTCAGATTAGCAAATATTCTTATGCCATTATATTCTTTTTTCTCTCAAAGAGGTTCTCTGCCCATGAATTTTGAATGAGCTTCTTAGGTTACTATTGGAATTCTCATGTTTCAAGAAAGGGATAATTATTATGGCTATGCATTGTTTACTAATTATATTAGTGTATTATTACTGTATTTATTATATGGATGCTAAGTCTCTTCAGACCCAGCTAGATTCAGGTGGTGTATAAATTTCATAAATAAAATAAAAATACATGATACTATGTAAAAAATCAGTAGAATTTTATGTACTTAGTAATATCAAACACACTCTAAAAACACAAATACACCTGTACCACCTTCAACATCCATGTTGAGATTCAATAAAAGCAATTGATAAAAAAAAACCCTGATCAGCCTGTTTATGGAACAAACTCTCCTTTCTGCATGGTTTACATGCACACTGACATGGTTCTGTCCCTTTGATCAGAATACAGTCCATTCAGCAGAACAGATGCTGTGATAACACAGGTAAGTAAGAAAGCCAAAAGTATGGAAATAAATAAAAAAGGAAAATGTTACACTGAGTCTCGATAGGTAGAAAAACAGTGGCAGTCTGATGGAAAAGATCACTTTCCTTAGGAAGCAACTGCACCAGGGAATGAACACTCCTAAGTATTTACCAGAAGAAGCCCCAAGCACTGTAACAAATTGTCAAATGAATTTAAAATCTTTGTCACTGATAATGTTGCAAATATATCCAAGGTGAGAAGGCATTTAGAAGGAAGTGATGTGCAATAATGGGATATATCTTAGGGAGTATAAGACTCTGCAAGGCATTAACGTGGCTGATTTCCAAAATTTCCACCATTAAGATCTTCAGCTCACAAGGCTGGGAAAGAACATGGAATGCTGCCATCACTGAGCAATTAGCCTAAACTGGACTGACCCATTTTCTAACTGATTTTTTCAGTTTAAAAACGTGGTTCCGTAGGCCAGAAGTGAAAATCTAAGGCTGTAGGTGGGCAATGAGGCCTTAAAAGCTTTCTTAACGTTGGTGGCACCTGTTGCGGCTCCAGCGCCCTTGCGCAGCCCTAGGCGCAGCAGGACCACAAGACCAGAAGAGACATTGCACCCCACCCCCAAATAATTTGAGGCCTGGGGTGAGCCAATGTGTCCTAGCCTTTAGCTCTGCTGCCAGTTTCGGAAGCACAGTAAACGTCGGTCTGCATTCGCCCTCTCTCCTTCAGGCTTGGGCACAGGTAGGTCAGAGATTCCCCAGCCCCAGCCCCGCTGAGGAGGGCAGCAGCGTCTGCCCTCAACAGCATTTGCGCACGGTGTACCTTCTCCATTTCTTGCTTGAACGTGGTGAACACTTCGCTGCTTTTGGAAAGGGTGTTCTGAAACTCTTCAAACTTCTCTGTATAAAGAGCCAGCTGAGAGAGAGAAAACAGAGAGGATTGACTGCTTGGAACGTCAGCATTTATAGCTCTTCTTTTAGCACGTTTTCTATGGGGCCGGGTCAGAGAAAGGAGACCAGGATGGCACCTCTTGCGGAGACGATTGTAAACTCCTGTTCCCCTGGCCCTGAGAGCAGCAGCAGTAACCAAGTAACACTGATCCATCCAGGGGCATCTACAGGTGGAGGGGATGGCAAAAAAGTCAAGATGGCAGCCACGACCACCCAAGCGGAGCCCTGCCCCTTTTTTGACCCTGTACTGCTACCCAAAGGCCACCATTTTGACTCCCACTGCAGATGCCCCAGATGCATCCCAAATTTGGTTTTGGAAAGACAATGTCTCCTTTATGTCCTTTCCTGGAGCCTGCAATCCCAAGGCAAGCTCCAAGCTCCCTTTCTGGGAAGTGACGTGTATCCTTTGGGCTAAACAAGCTGAACAAGAGCAGAGCAAAGATGCCACCTGCCGCCCCACCTGCTGCTTAAGATGCGCCTCCTGTTGCTTCATCAACTCACACATTCTCTGGGACTCCACGGCTTCTTTCAGTAGCTGCACGAGAGAAGGAAGAGGGGAAGGAGGAGGAAGGTTAACACCCTACACCTGAACGAGGAAAGAGGAAGAGTTTCTGCTGGCAGGGAACTCCCTTCCATCCCGTTGGCAAATAAGGCCTGATACAAGACCCCACTGCCCCTGCCCCCAAGCTGCTATCCAGCCTCCGGTCCCCACCGATGGACTTCAGAATCCAAGGAAAAAGGCAGCACAGATCCCAGCCTGGCATCTGCTCCTTCTAGAAAGTCCCTAAACGCGTCCAAATCTGGATCTCAGTGCTTCGCTAATGACTAGGTCTGGTAAAGACAAGATAAGGCTGCCACGTAAGGAGAACTCTCTGAACGCTGCGGCTGCATAATGGATCATCAGAACTCCTGACAACTGCCACATGAGCTTCCTGGGATTTTCAGCCTCTTACAAGGCAGCTCAGGATCCTTTCCCATTCACATGCCTCCTTTTCTTGAATTGTCCCGGAACCTGCTCCCTCTTAATCCTTTGCAGGTCCTGTTTGAGGAGGGCAACAGGGCCACGCCCCAGCTTTCTGTTTGTTCAACCAAGCAAAGCCTTACAAAGTCTTTTTCCCGCTGGTGCCTCTCCTCTGCCTCTTTCAACATTTCCTGGGCCTGCTGGAGTTTGGCGTCCACCAACTGCTGCTGCAGGTCCTTATGTTTAAAGACCTTGTCGATGTGCTGCCGAGAGAAACACAACAGGCGTCAGTCAAAGGCGGCTGGAGCTTAGCTCTGAACCCCCAAGCCCATCCAAAGGCAGGGATCGCGCCACCTTCACTGGTCAAGCCCCAAAAGGAAGGGCCACTCATATCAACGCTGCTTCGGTCATATGAGAAAAGAGGCTGAGATCTTCTCCAGGCACGAAATGCTGTATTTGGGCACACATCAACAGCGTCACCATGACAACACAAACTGAGACACAAAAAGGTTTTCCTGAAGGTGGTGATCAGCTAAGGAGAGGTAAAGCCTCTTCCAAGTTAAGCTCAGTTCTTGATGCCACACCCCTCTACTGTGGCTGGCAGCGATATGGAAGAGGTTGGCCCCTGCCTTCTCCCACCGTGTTTTTTTCAACTTCCCAGTTGAACCCACAGCCCTAGGAAGTCCTAGTGGTCTCCAATCCAAGTATCAACCAGACTTAGCTTCTGAGCTCAGACAAAGCCAAGCAGGTGCAGCCACCAGCCGGCATTACCAACTGACAGCTTTAAATGCACAAAGGCTCTGGGGCCATCAAGTTCAGTATCGTCTACAAAAACAGGTGAAGCCTCTTCCGCAGCACACAGAGGCCTTTTCCAGGGATCCCTTTGCAGAAGATGCAGCGGAGAACCTGGCATTTTCTTAATGCAAAATGTATGCGACTACAGAATTTTCCCTGAAAGGCACCCACCCAACTGATACATAAGGACTGTCGAGGGAAAAAAAAAGATACTTTGATTAAAGAGTTTACCTTTTTTTAATTATCCAAGCCTCTTATTTTTATGCTAGTTTTGCACATGGTTATGTCTTTCACTAAATGCAGGATTTGATACCTGGCAGAGAACTCAGAATATTAAGCAGAAACGTCACATCTTCAAAAAATGAATCCACGGTGGCCAAAGATAAAATAGGAAAAAATACCAACCATGCCAACTGCTGGAATGGGCAAAATGTAAATAACTGACACAAGATTATAAAGGATTTCTGAACTAACCAGAAAATGACCCATCCCAAATAAGGCTGAAGGGGAAAAGGGTAACCAGGAATGGATGATTGTGGGGAAGGACTGTGAATTCAGTCCAATTCTAGGACTTAATACAAATTCCTGAGCAGCCAACTTTTCAGTTCTTACGTCCTCTGTCCTTGGCTCTAGTTGATGAATCTCAGGATTCTAGTACAGGTAGTCCTCACTTAACAACCATTTGTTTAGTGACCGTTCAAAGTTACAACAGTGCTGAACAAAGGAACTTACAACCAGTCCTCGCACTTACAACCGTTGCAGCAGCCCCAAGGTCATGTGATTGTGATCCAGGAGCTTGGCAAGCAGCTCACACTTACGACAGTTGCAGCATCCCAGGGTCACGTGATCAGCATTTGCAACCTTCCCAGCCGGCTTCCGGCAAGCAAAATCAATGGGGAACCACATGCTTCGCTTAACAGCTGTGGTGATTTGCTTAATGACTGCTGCAAAAAAGGTCGTAAAATCGGGTGTGACTCGCTTAACAACCGCCCCGCTTAACAACAAATTTTCCGGTCCCTATTGTGGTAGTTAAGCAAGGACTACCTGTAAAAAGAAAACATATTCTACTGAAACCTTAAAAAGGCAGCAGGGGTTGTTTGGTTTCTGCAAGTGAAGGCAGATCTGTAATACACCTTTAGCTAAGCCCAAAAGATCTTTGCCACTTAGAGCTATTTTGCCTACCACCAGAACGAGGATACTTCTGAATTCCAGTTGCTGGAGAACAGCAGCCTCTCCCTTCCTTCCTACGGGCTTCCCAGCTGGTGGAAAACAGTGGAAGTAGAATCCCATTTTAAATTCCACACAGTGCTTATGTTTTTGGGACTCATTTTTCAATTTTCCACTAACATTTCTTTTTCAATTCTAAAAATTATAAGACTTTAAGATCTGAGGATACTTCAGGCTCTGTTCTTCTCCACCTCCACATTGTAGTCCTCTGACATCAGAGCAGACAACTAAGAACAGCAGTTCCTCAGAGGAGATGTTTGGAACATCTGGAGACCACATGTCAGTGGTGAATGGGCCCAATTTTTCCACACACACCCCATCTATCCCTGCCTCCTCCAACTATTCTCTTACACTAAGCTAAAACATTCCTCCAGCAGAGTCCGCTTTCAGCTCCCATGCCCATCCGCTGGACAACTCCCTCTTCTTCTTTATGGTCCTGGAGCCTTCTATCCTTTCTCAAAGTGCTGCCAATCATCTCTGGGCACCCAAAGATACCAGCACTCCCAAGGGTGGCAAGAAACATGAGGCAGTTGCACAAGCACTTCAGTGCCATTTCCAGAGCCCAGAAGCAAAGCTGCCAAGGAAATGGCTTATCTGAAAGGGGACACATCTAAGGGGACTGGCAGTACAGCTGAAGAGCAGGATGAAGAGGCTTGGAACCCTGGACTGGGCCCACTGACCAGTTCCTCCATCCCTGCCCTTGACCGCCGCAAGCATCACGGCCTCCTGTGACTGCTCACCTCTTCCCGCAGCTCATATTGCTCAATGAGTTTCTTCAGCCTTTCTGCCAGCTCCATATTCTCCTGGCGCAGTTTGGAGTTGCGTTCGTTGTGCTGTTCCATCTGCAACTGGATGTCATTGAGCGTCACCTGGAAGTGAGACGTCACCTCCTTCCTCTTTTCTTCCTCCTCGCGAGCTCGCTGGACACCCTCCTCCTGTTTAGACAAGTTGAAGCGAGTTTATAGAGCAGAGCAGCAACTCTGACAATGTAAAGAGTCCCAGTCCAAGGCCTGGAATCTCCTAGCTAGCAAAGCTGGGGAAGGTTCTTGGGGAGCTGCTGCCAGGCCGAATGGGCACGGGTTAAACGGCCAGATCTTCCAAGAACGAGTTGCTATAAGCCATTATGAAACTCTCTCTCCCAAAGACCTGGCTCTGCCAGCTTGCCTGGGGCAATAAGAGTTTTAACCAATCCTGGGGGTGGCTGGTGCCCTGATGTCACTCCTGAGTTAC